ATGGGTAGGTGGATTTAAGGGTACAGGGATTTAAAGATATGGAGATTTAAGAGCACGGGGATTTAAGGGTATGAAGATTTAAGAGTACGGGGATTTAAGGGTACGTGGACTTAAGAGTACGAGCAATTAGGGATTCGGTGGTTTGGGAATCTTAGGACATAGTTTCATATATTTATAAATATTCAAGTTTCCAAATTCCCTACATTTCCAAATCCTGCAATTCAACTTCAACTTCTCAAAATTCCCCAAACTGCTAATTTCCAGAATTGCAACTTCCAAGCTTATCAGCATATTTCTGTAATCCTCTCAATTATAATATGACAAGACTCCTCGATACATCATACTTCATCCACAATAATCTACAATATTCTTTTAAATCCAGAACGGCTATAAAACAAGAGTCCTACCCAGTGAACCTTACATAGTCCATTCATAATAATTTGCAATATTCTTTTGAATCTACAACGGCCATATAACGAGAGTCTACCCAGTTAACGTTACATAGACCCTTCATAACAATCTGCAATGTTCTTTTAAATCCAGAACGGCTATAAAACAAGAGTCCTACCTAGTGAACCTTACATAGTCCCTTCATAATAATCTGCAATATTCTTTTGAATCTACAACGGCCATATAACGAGAGTCTACCCAGTTAACGTTACACAGTCCCTTCATAATAATCTGCAATGTTCTTTTAAATCCAGAACGGCTATAAAACAAGAGTCCTACCTAGTGAACCTTACATAGTCCATTCATAATAATTTACAATATTCTTTTGAATCTACAACGGCCATATAACGAGAGTCCTACTCAGTGAACGTTACATAGACCCTTCATAATAATCTGCAATATTCTTTTAAATCCAGAACGGCTATAAAACAAGAGTCCTACCTAGTGAACCTTACATAGTCCATTCATAATAATTTGCAATATTCTTTTGAATCTACAACAGCCATATAACGAGAGTCTACCCAGTTAACGCTACCCAGTTAACGCTACACAGTCCCTTCATAATAATCTGCAATATTCTTTCAAATGCAGAACGGCCATATAGCGAGAGTCTACCCAGTTAACGTTACATAGTCCCTTCATAATAATCTGCAATATTCTTTCAAATGCAGAACGGCCATATAACGAGAGTCTACCCAGTTAACGTTAAATAGTCCCTTCATAATAATCTGCAATATTCTTTTAAATCCAGACGGCCATATAACAAGGTTCCTATCTAACCTTCGCCCGAATTATTTCCTCCATGACCTCGCTCTTAAATGACATTCCCAAAAGTCCCAATCCGAATGACGCAAAGTACAGGAACGTTCGACGAACAAAGAATTTGTGGTGTTTATGAAAGTGGTATCTCGCACACGATAAAACAGAGCCGTGTATCAGCCCTTGGTCAATCGTTCCGATAAGATAATTGATACTATTTGACAAATTTCAGGCACGTGTCAAAAAGTGATGGAAACGGAGGTGACGATCTAGTTGGCTGAGAGCAAGCTGACAGAAGGTTTCGCGAAAAGAGCGTTGCGTTAATCCACGATCGTGAACCGCATAATCGCGCATTGTGTCCGTGAAACACGTTGGTGATACGCATTGTTTTTGCTATAAGTGACTTTCACTTTCGAATATAGACATTTTTAGCGCAGAAGCTATTGACAATCGTTGCAAATTCGCGAAGGATGTGACTATGAAGACACCGGTTTAGGACCGAGGGCAGTTTTGTAAGTTCTCTTCCTTTTTCGCCGGTATTTATAATTTATGATATTTTGAACTTCTTTTTTTAGTTAAAGGGTTTTTGGGGATTTTGTATGTTGGGATGCTTGGTATTTTTGGAAAGAAATTTGGGATTATTGGAGTGATTGGAATTTTTTAATTGGTGGATGTTCAGGTGTTGGAATAATAGGGATAGGAATAATTTTCAAATTCCTAAGTTCTCAAATTTGAAATAGGAACGAGTCCTCAACTTCTCAAGTTTCAATTGTAATTAAATTTCCAACTTCTCAAGTTTCAGATGTAATCCAGTTCCCAACTTCTCAAATTTCAATTGTAATTAAGTTCCCAACTTCTCAAGTTTCAGATGTAATCGAGTTCCCAACTTCTCAAGTTTCAGATGTAATCTAGTTCCCAACTTCTCAAGTTTCAATTGTAATTAAGTTTCCAACTTCTCAAGTTTCAGATGTAATCGAGTTCCCAACGTCTCAAGTTTCAGATGTAATTAAATACCCAACTTCTTATATTGCAAATGTAACCGAATACCCAACTTCTCAAGTTTCAGATGTAATTAAATTCCCAACTTCTCATATTGCAAATGTAACCGAATACCCAACTTCTCAAGTTTAAGATGTAATTAAATACCTAACTTCTCATATTTCAAACGTAACCGAATACCCAACTTCTCATAATTCAGGCGTAACTAAATTCTCAACTACTCAAATCTTCCTCTTTCATTTTCCTCAATACTTTTCCTATGCTTCTCCTTATTTTCCCCAGATTCTCCCCAATAAATAGCAAATGACCTGTAACTAAATATCATACAAATTCTACTGTTCTTGTCATGTTCGTGTCACCTGATACCGTAGCAATCGGCGTAATTGCGTATTGAAGTGCATTATCAAAATTTTGAAGTAACACCGATATAACTTATTGATAATACCGATTTAACTCTTGATCCGCATTACTCATTTCTTAGAAAAAGAAACAGTAAACAATTCATTTTTCTGAAACCGTCTTTTCTTCCGTTTATTAATCTTCGTTATTTTTAATAACCTCGGTTTATCTGCTTCATTTTACAACGTTTAATTAATAGTTCCCGTCAATCATTCACATCGATAAATTTTATCATTTCAGCAAAGTGTATCGAAACAGAAACCATTCTTTTATTTGAAATAAAAATTAATTTACAATGAATCCGTAGTTCGTATTTAAACGTAAATACTAATACGATAGTCTGTGTACATTGTACAAGCGTGATACCATTAATCAACGTTACCGATGTTTAATCAGTACGTTTCCATCTGTTAATAAATTCAGTTCAACCAGAAAGTTATCGCATCGAATCGTTATCTTCGCTCAGCAAATATTTACTTGTTCATTCTTACACCGAGTAGCAATTCATCGCATGTACTCTTCAAAATATTCGACACATTTTACCGAGTCGTGTGAAGAATAATCGATTTTAAAGGCCCATTAAAAAAACAGGAGGATGCGGCGAAGCTACAGGTGTCAACCCACGAGTTGGCGCGCGATGGACAACTTTGCATTTTAGATAGCTCTAGGTCTTGATTTTAGATAGCTCTAGCTCTTGATTTTAGATAGCTTTAAGTCTTGATTTTAGATAGCTCTAGGTCTTGACAAGTGTCCACATATACTTTGAGTTTAATTTTGCAAAGATACAGTTTACATAGACTTCGATAATTGTCCACATGTCTTCAAATTTTAGATAGCCCTTGATAAGTGTCCACATGCAAGTTTATGTTCCATTTGAAAGAGACTTTAGATAGGTGCCCTCGGTAACTGTCCACACGATACCTTCAAATTTTAGACAGCTTCAGATGTCGACAATCGACATACAGATAACCCACGAGATGGCGCGTGACCCAAAGTAAAAGAAGCTCCTCACCGTGAACACTTCCAGTTACATTTCGGCGCATAAGAATAATAATGACAACAACTGCAGAAGGCAATGGCTATCTCGCTCACTCGAGAGACGTTTGCCGACTCTCATTGTTTTTCGCCTAATCGGTGCGCGTGACCGGCGAGAGCCAATTGTTCCGCCGAAAATACGTGTGAGGCGTCCATTTTTCTATTCTGACTAGCTCTTCTAAACACGTCGGCTTCGCGCGCCAACTCGTGGGTTGACATCGGTATTGTACTTTTGGGGGCCATCTTAAATGTACATCGATTGCAAATGGCGGTTTGGCGTCAGCTGAGAATATGGAGATTTGAAAGTTTGAGAATTTGGAAATTTGGTAATTCGGAAATTGAGAATTGGGGGTATGGAATTGGGTAATGTGGGAATTGGGGAATGTGGGAATTGGGGATTGTGGGAATTGGGGAATATGAGAATTGGGGATTGTGAGAATTGGGGAATGTGGGAATTGGGGTGTATGGCAATTGGGAGAATGGGAATTGGGGAATGTGGACTTGGGGAAAGTGGGAATTGGGGAATATGGGAAGTGGGGAGTGTGGGAATTGGGGAATGTGGAATTGGGAAAAGTGGAATTGGGGAATGTGGGAATTGGGGAATGTGGAAATTAGGAAAAGTGGAATCAGGGAATGTGAGAATTGGGAAATGTGGGAATTGTGGAATGTGGAATTAGAAAATGTAGGAATTGTGGAAAGTGGAATTGGGGAATGTGGGAATTGGGAAAAGTAGAATCGGGGAATGTGAAAATTGGGGAAAGTGAAATTAGAAAATGTGGGAATTGAGGAAAGTGGAATTGGGGAATGTGGGAATTGGGGAAAGTGGAATTAGGAAATTGGAAAATCGATAATCTGAAAATTTGTAAATATAGAAATTTACGGATGTAGAAATCTAAAGATACAGAAATTTACAAGTTCAAGAATCTCTAAATTTGGAAAATTGCAACCGTAACCAATCTAAACACAGCTCCAAGTGCCAACTCGTGACATCGGTATTGCACTTTTGGGCGCCATCTTAAATGTACACCGATTGCAAATGGCAGTTTGGCGTCAGCAGATATTTTTGTCGATTTTTCACGCGCCAACTCGCAGGTTGACATCGGTACATTCATTGGAAAAAAAAGAAGAATGAAATGAATGCGTGCACAGGTGCACCATTTTGATGTTTCTCGCTGACGACATTATCTGAAGTTATCTCAAAAAATAATTTTGTTCCAAGGAATTTCCAATAATTCTTAATGTAGATAGGTTAATGTTCTCGAGTACGTTTACGTGATTTTCCATGTGCGACTTTGCAGATCCTCATTTTCCAATGTTACAATACAGGTTATCAAGCGAGAGAACATTGACTGGCCACCATGAATTTTGTCCGGGACTTCGCATCGACCACCATCTTGGTCTTCCTCGTGGCTGGACTTCAATTGGCAAGCGGGAACCAAGGTGATTGCTGACCTACGTAAAAATTAGATAAAATAACCTTAGTTACAAGAAACATTCTTATCTTCGAGAAATAAATTAAATTGAAATGATTTAGAAGCATCGTTATTGAAATATACATACACCTAGCTAAAAGTCATATAGAAACAAAATCGATAGTCTGATAGTTTCCTTCATTTACCGTCCATTCGTCGATTAAACCTAAACTTCATTACACAGAACCAATAACACGAGACAATGGAAGCGTTTCCCTCGACGACTACCGTTTACCAAAAACGATCATCCCCGTCAATTACGAGATTATGCTCATGCCAAGACTATCAGGTGACTTCGGGTTCAACGGCATCGTACGCATCAAGGCGGTGGTACAAGAAGCGACCGACATCGTAATCGTTCATAAAGGAAGCCTCACCGTAACGAAGGCCACCGTTACCAACCTATTGAACAACGTATCCGTGAATGTACAGAATCCACCGATATATAACAACGTTACAGAGAAATATGCGCTTAAACTCGAAGAACCACTCGCTAAGGGAATGAATATTTCCATCAACTTCGAGTACAGTGGAAAACTCAGGGATGACATGATCGGATTCTACAGGAGCTCCTATGTCGACGCCGAAGGAAAGATTAGGTGAATATTGTTGGGAGTCTTTAGGACAATAATGGGCAACACTTAGTACACCTAGCATACTTAGTAACAATTACTAGTGCGTTATTCCTGTGATTCAACATGTCAGAGCTTGGTAGTTAGGCTGCGGGCACTTGGTGTGCCCATTACTGCCCTAGAGCTGGGTTCGTGAATAAAATGGGTAGTTATCAAGATAAATATGACGTAGGGATACATAGGGGACATAGTAGGATACATAAGGGGTATAGTAAGAAACATAGGAGGCACATTAGGATACAGGTGCACTGTATCCTAACCCACATTCCCCAATTTCACTTTTTCCAATTCCACATTCCCCAATTTCCATATTCCCCGATTCCACTTTCCCCAATTCCCACATTTCCCAATTCCCGCATTCCTCAATTCCTACATTCCCCAATTCCCACAAGACAGGTCTAACAGTGTCATATTACGATTTCATTCAATGTATTTCTAATCAAAGACCAACTGACTACTTTGATGATCCTATAGACTACTTTGTCAATCGGATTGACTTCAATACTCATCAGATTGTACATGTTTTTCAAAATCCAGGTGGATGGCGTCAACACAGTTCCAGACAGCACACGCGAGACACGCCTTCCCCTGCTTTGATGAGCCGAGTTTCAAGGCAACCTTCGTACTCAGGATCTTGAGATCCCCGGAATATACTTGCCTCAGCAACATGCCACTTCGTAATTCTGTTTCTGTGTAAGTTGTTCAAGAATATACTTAAGGTCATTGCAGTATACTACCTTGAGGATGTACTTTAAGGTCATTGTAGTATGCCAAGCTTGAGAATCTACTTTACGGTCATTGCAATATATAACCTTGAGGAGATGCTCATTATAACAAATTAAGCTAGAGAATTTACATCGAGTGAGCATATTAATCTTGAGGACATATCTGAAGGTCATAGTGTTAACTTTGAAACAGTACTTCAAAGTCATTGTAGTGTGTCAACCTTGAGGTCATTGCAATATATAACCTTGAGGAGAAGCTCATTATAATAAGTTGAGCTTGAGAATTTTTATCGAGTGAGCATATTAATCTTGAGAACCTATCTGAAGGTCGTAGTGTTAACCTTGAAACAGTGCTTCAAAGTCATTGTAGTGTGTCAAGCTCGAGGATATACCTTGAGGTCATTGCAATATATAACCTTGAGGAGATGCTCATTATAATAAGTTAACCTTGAGAATTTATATCGAGTGAGCATATTAATCTTGAGGACATATCTGAAGGTCATAGTGTTAACTTTGAAACAGTACTTCAAAGTCATTGTA